TTGTCAACCTAGACAAAAATTCCGTCTAGGTTGACAGTCAACCTAGACGGAATTTCCATCTAGGTTGACAAGCAACCTAGACGGAATTCCGTCTAGGTTGATTTTTCGTCTAGTTTGTCAATCTAGACGGAAATTTCCGTCTAGATTGTTTCAAACAAGACGGAACAAACTAGACGGAAAAAATTCTGTCTAGTTTGTTCCATCTAGGTTGATTGTTTTTCTACTAGTGATTCTCAGATTTTTACTCTTTTGGCCTTTGTGCATGTTTTGTGCATTTGCACTCATATTTTCACAAATATACATTGAATTAATTTTAAATCAATTCTTATCATACTCAAACATCAAAATATGTTATTTTTTACTATATAACATATTTGTTATTATTTATCATAAAAATATTCAAATTTACGGGGTTTTACATTCTTCTCCCCTTAAAAGAATTTCGTCCCCGAAATTCCACAATCGTATTTTAGGAATTAATAATATAAGAAAGGCTTTAAGAAGGGATAATTCAGACAAGGAAACCCTCCCGTACACATTTCTTACTATTAATCGCTAGATATGAATCACTAGCAAAATTTATGCTTAACAATCTAAAATGCGAATACTCCCACTTAACTCCTAACTAAACGGAACTAGTACATCGGGTGAAAAATCCAAAAAAGGAACCCCCATATATATACCATGTATTCCGAATGATTAGGGGCGAAGTGTTAATAACCCCATTCTAGCGTTAAATATAAATATGACCATATAGAAAAAAAAACAAAAAAAAAAAACATAAACATCAATAAGGTATAACCAAAATAATTTATCCACTCGAACGGTTGCCGGTAGTCACGACACATATCCTCCTCGCACTCCCAAGAAGCCTCTTCATCTCTTTTCTATCACTATTGAACTTTAACTTAAGGTATTACTTCCTTTCTAAGCCTCTCGTCCTCTTTAGTAAAAATACAACCCGTGATCTCCACGGTAGTTAAATCTATCTGAAACTCAAATTCTGGTGTATTAATCACCCTCTGCTGCTCCTCGTTGCGCAATTACTTCTAAATTATCAAAAAATAGAAAATATCGTGTCTACTCGACATTGATGCTAAAAGATCTAGCCCATAAGAAATGGCTCCAAAATGTATAACTCTCATGAACGAGCCAATATACCTTAGGGTAAACTTTCCCCGTCTACTGAGTCACTGAATTCATCAGAGGTATTTTCAATAAGACATAGTTCCCAATCTAGAACTCTAACGGTTATCGTCTCTGGATGACTATGCGCTGCAAGAATGCGTTCCCGAATCTCTGTTATCTTTTCTGTAGTCTGCCTCACAAGCTTCTATCTAAGCAATAAACTTTCTTGTAATCTGCCTAATGAATAACAATCTATAATGCCTCCCGTACCATGCTTCATACGGTATCATGCCAATAGTCTATAATAAATAATATTATAAGCAAACTCAATCAATGAGATAAGATCATCCCAGCTATCCTGTAAATCTATAATACATGTTTGCTACATATTTTCTGACACTTGGTTTATTCTCTCTGTTTGTCCATCCGTCTATAGGTAGAAAACACTAGAATATCACACTGGCTACCTAACAAATTCTGAAAACTCCTCCAGAAGTGTATCTTCACATCTTTGTACATTTTCCTTATGCCTGGATGCACTGTATATCTGTTACGATGTGCCTCAAGTGTCACGAAATATAGGCTATACCCTTCGGGTCTGCATCAAAACACCTCCTAGTCCTGCTATTGACGTGTCCACGTAAATGACAAATGTTGTATAACTGCTCAGAAAAGTTAAAATTGTTACTGTAGTCTATCTAGCCTTAATAGTCTCAAAGGCTTCCTAGCACCCCGTGCCCAAAGCAAACTATACATCCTTCTTCGTAAGGTGTGTAAGTGGTATCATAATCTTTAAAAAGTCTCAAATGAACTTTTTCTCATACCCTAACAAAACTCCACATCTCCGTAATGGTTCTTAGTGGCTCCCAATTAAGTACAGCCTCAATAATGGCTGGATCCACTGTTATGCCCCCTACTGATGATGTGGCCTAAAAATCTGATCCCTTATAGCCAAAACTCGTATTTGCTAAACTTAACGTATCACTGATGCCTCTAATCTTGACTGTCCGCTATGCCCGCAATGCTAATAGAGGATGCTACTCGTGTTCTGCCTCCGATCTCGAAAAGATAAGGATGTCGTCAATAAAACGACTACGAACTGGTCCTAACATGGACGGAAAACCCGGTTCATCAAATCCATGAATATCGCGAGTGTATTGGTCTGCCCAAATGGCATGGCAAGAACTCAAAAGACTCATATCGAATCAGAAAATGCGGTTTTGGAAATATCCATTTACCGCACTCGCAACTGGAAATAACTAGAACGAAGATCAATCTTTGAGAAATGTTACGCTCCCCGTAGCTGGTGGAACAAGTCATAAATCCTCGATAATGGATACCTGTTCCGGATAGTGACTTGCTCAACTCACGAAAATTGATACACAATCACATGCTATAGTCCTTCTTCCCCACAAAGAGGACCGGTACTCCTATGAAAATAACTCCTGACAATAAAACCCTGAGTTAACAACTCATCTAGCTGAGTCTGTAGCTCCCTCATCTCAGCGGGTGCAATATGATATGATAGGATGCTCGAAAAATCGGTACAGGGAAACAACCTCTCTTACTGGAGAAAATATAGGTATATCCTGAAAGACATCCTGATACTCTGAGACAACTCCGGTCTCGCTCAAAACTACACCCCGATCCCGTATCATCACCTTCTCGACGTATGTTAGAAATGACTCCGTATTCTGGTTACCCTATGAGATTGCTACTATCTATACAATCCTAACGAATGCTCGTAAGCATACTATTTTAGCAAGTAGGATTATAACCATTTCATACCAAGAATGAATTCGAAATCCGAGATCCACAAAACGATCAGGTCAAAGATGAACTCAAACTCATCTATACTGATGACACATCTCCTACATATACTCTCTAATAGGGACACCTCCTCTTGAGGAGTAGAATCTAATAACAGAACATCTAAGCGATGTGTAACTAACTAAAGCCTATACTTGAAGGCATGAAATATGAAAGAACACGAAGTTCCTAAATCAAACAAGATTCGAGCTGGATAAGAATTTACTACAAAAACTTTGCTCGCACTATGCTCACGTGGTATGACTACATAAACCCTGTCAGTGGCTAGCGACTACTATGCTATCGGTGGTGGAACGTATGGGTCCATCTGACCCTGATGAATACTCTAAATAGAGCAATTCTGGCCTATTGGACCCTAAATTCTTGGAATAACCGGTAGTACATCCATCCTCTGATGCTGGCCGTAACCGTGGCCCTAAGACTATTGACCCTGACCTCTGTCATGCTGGTCTCCTGTTGGTGTACTGCGACAATTCTTTGATTTATATCTTATCTTGTTATAATTGTATCATGTGTCCCGAATCATACGCTGCTGCGGCGCTATTAAATCATGTTTTGCTATCTTCTTATAATGTCTTTGTTGATGATGGTAAAAATCCTTACCCCGCTGCTGGGGTCCTCTAGATCCCACAATAGGCCCCTTGCCCTTGTTATTGCCATCATGCGGGGCTTGATTTCTTAATTAACTATAGGCATATTTCACTGCTTTAATCGAACTGGCTCTAACTGCTTGTCGAAGAAGTAAACAAAATTTTCCCAAATAAGTGATATACACTGTCCCGGTGAAAATCTAAAATTGTAGCTATCCTTTGCTGCTATTCCCCGATGATGTCCTCTATGCTGACTATTTTTAATCTCTGGTTTGGTACTGAGTCGACGTTAAAATTTTTTCACATATTCCTTTATTTTTTAAGTTGCATATGAATCTAGTCTGCCCAACGCTATGGTGTTCTTAGTGTCAGATATCCTTCCTATTCTTTCGGAGTCAAGCCTCGTGCTATGCGGTTCTATCAACAGCTGGTTGTGGTGATGATGAAATCATTGGTATTGCCTCTTCATTAGGAATGACTGGTACAATTAGTGGTGGAACTCCAGAAAGTGATACTGCTGGCAAAAACGGATACGCCTCTCGCTCCTCGAGTGCTACAAAATCTTACTACAAACGATGTCATAAAGTCGATCAGATATTGTGGAGCCTACTGTGGCTCGGGCTCTGTTTGCCCAGCTCTCAGGGTACGAGTTTTATCTCGACCGTATCCTCATCCCAACATTTATAATATCGAGAGGAGAGCTTATGATCACAGTAAGTGAGATCACAAAGAGCCCCCTTCAATCCTTTTGGAGAAGGAACAGTAATTTCTAATGAGGGAGAAGACAAAGATTGGATCAATGTGATTTCCCGTAAAAGGTATAATAAATTCTCTTCAAAATCTAATGTTTCCAAATCTTTTGTTGATACTCGGAAGATTCATCAACATGCATTGTCAAAAGATGGTGGCAGAAATCACTCTTCAGAATCTAGGGTCAAAGCAAATAACAATTTGCACCAGAAACAGAGAATTGCTGAATCGTGGAATTTTAAATTTGTTGGATCTACATAATGGAAGGATATTTGTACTATGGGCAGAGTTATAAATCAAAATTGTTCTTTAGAATTTTTTCCCCCTTCTATCGATAGCAATGGCATGCAATATGCTACTATTCCAAGGTCAGAAATTCTTCTTAATGTTGAGAAATGGAATAATACATTAATTGGATATGTGCTTGGTGATAAACCTTTCTATTCACATCTAAAAGGTTGTGTTGGACGTCTTTGGAAAGTAAACTGTTCCCTTGAAATTTTTTCTAGAGAGAATGGATTCTTCTTTTTTAAATTTGGTTCAAGTGAAGAGATGAACAGAGTTTTAAATGGTGGCCCTTGGCTATTTGATGGAAGGCTTATCATTCTCAAACAATGGTCTGAAAATATTGGGTTAGAAAGAGATCTCCTTACTACTGAGCCAGTTTGGATTAGATTCCCTTCTTTGCATCTCAAGTTATGGTCTACTAATATTATTGGACGTATTGCTAGCACTGTGGGTATTCCTATATATATTGATCAAGCTACTGCATCTGGGGAGAGACTAGCATATGCCAGATGTTTTGTGGAAATCTCTTCTAAAGCTAAACTTCCGAATTCTGTTAGAATGGATTTAGGCAATGGAGAATGGCTAGAAACTAAAGTGGAATATGAATGGGTTCCTCCTAAATGTAGCAAATGTTTAGTTTTTGGACATGTTGAGTATCAATGCCCTGTAGTTCTAGTTGAGAAATGGGTCCCTAAAGCTACATCTGATGAAAGAGTTAAGGCCATAGAAAATGAGTTACATGTTAATGATTCTAACTTGTCAGATAAGACTTCTTCTCAGCATAGTATTCCAGACATTGGTGCTAGCTCTGATCAACCAAAAATTGTTTCAGATTCAGGTTCTCCTCAAGAGGATGTTATCAATTCATATGGCTCAGATAAAGGAAAAACAGTTCTATCTGCTCCAAATTTATCGGAAGGAAATGATAATTTGGTATATGGAAATGCAGGTATAAATGAGGTACTACCAAATGTGGATGATAATGATTCTGAAGACATATTAAATGATGATACTTTTATCAATATTGAATTAAATGAGTCTGTGGAATTATTAAATCAAGATGTGGTTGATCAGAATAAGATGATACAAGGCATACAGGATTCTACACTTATTAGTGAGCACTCTGATACAAGTAAATCCTTATCAGCTACAAAGGTGAACTTTGATTCTTCAGACCCTACTACAATTATGTCAAAGAAGAATGTCCATGCAGCCAATACAGGTTTTAATAATCATATTAATTCCAGTCATGCGCAACAATATCAAGAAGAGAATGATTCTTTACAAACAGGAGAAGATAAAATGAAGGAGAAAGTAATAGATTTTCCTATTGCTACTGACAATCCTGCCTGGTTACTAGAGAAAAATCTGCTGTTAATGAAGAAGAAAAACCAGGTTAAAATAAATAAAGAATCTTCATTAGGTCCAAAAAGAGTCACAAGGGCCTCCTCAAATTTTTGCTCATGACCATGTTATTTTGGAATGTCAGAGGCATGAACAATTTGGGAAGGAGAAGGGATATTAAAAGACACATTCAATATGTGAAACCGAGTGTTGTTGGTTTGATAGAGACCAAAGTAAAATCAGATAAGGCATACAGAATTACATAATGTATTCCTTCTCATTGGTCGTATTGTAATAACTACTCTGCTTCTAATAGAGGTAGAATATGGATAGCTTGGGATTCTGAGGTGTGGAATGGGTCAGTATTATCAGTTACATTACAACAAATAACTATAAGTCTTCAGAACAATGGAGGGCTCAGACTGATTTTGAGTGTCATTTATGGGGAGAATTCAGAATTAAGAAGAACAGCATTATGGGCTGACATTTCAGATATCTATACCAAAGTTAACAATATGCCATGGTTGTTAGTGGGTGATTTCAATATTTGTAGATTCTCTTCAGAGAAAGTTGGAGGTATGAAATTAACTACCAAGAAGCTTCAAGCATTCAATGACTGTCTTCAGCTATGTGGTTTATCTGATATCAAGAGTACGGGGTTAACTTGGACATGGCATAATAATCAACAAGGTAGATACAGAATCTATGGTAAGTTAGATAGGGCTCTGGGAAATACTAATCTGATTGATAAATTTCCTAATGCTTTTATAGAATATAAAAGCTCCTCTTCTAGTGATCATACTCCAGTTATTGTTCATCTTGTAGCCTGCACAAATTCAGATCCAAAACCTTTCAGGTTCTTTAACTACTGGGTTCAATGCCAGGGATATGAAGAATTGATCAAAGAGGTCTGGAATAATCATTTTGAAGGCTCTACTATGTTCAGATTTGTTACCAAGCTTAAAAATCTCAAAAAAGCTCTGAAACATTGGACTAAAGAGACTTTCTCTTCAACAAAGGCTAATATTCTTAAATTATCTAAACAGTTGGAGATCATTCAAAGTAAATTAAATCAGGATATGGCAAATGAGGAGTTACAGTCAGGAGAAACTGTAGTATCTTATGAACTTAGTGGATGGCTTGATAAGGAGGAACTTGAGCTCAGACAAAAAAGCAGACAATTATGGCTTCAACAAGGAGATAGAAATACTAAATTCTTCTATAACGCTATTAAGCACAGAATTTCTACAAACAATATCAGGTATATTATTAATCAAGATGGTACTCCTATATCTTCTTTTGACAAGATGAAAATGATTGCCCCTAGATTCTATGAAGATCTTTTCAACCAAACTTCATACTGGAATGTGTTTCCTAAAGTCACAGTGAAGAAAATCCTAACTGTAGAAGCTAAGCAATGGTTAGTTAAGGACATCAATCACAAGGAGATTAAAGAGGCACTTTTCCAAATGAATCCAGATAAGGCTCCAGGCCCTGATGGGTTTAACGCTTATTTTTACCAACACAATTGGAGTATGATCAAGGATGATGTGATTGTTGCTGTGAAGTCTTTTTTCTCTTCAGGTAAAATACTTAAACAGATAAACCACACTTTTCTCACTCTAGTGCCAAAATCAAAAGAAGCCACTTCCATTCAAGATTATAGGCCTATCTCTTGCTGCAATGTTATTTACAAAATTATTTCTAAGATCTTAAGTAACAGATTGAAGTTGGTTGTGGGAGAGTTGATTTCAAATAATCAACATGCTTTTCTGCAAGGTAGACAAATAGGTGAATGTTCTTTATTGGCGCATGAACTTCTAAGAGATTTCTCTAAGAAGCATGGAAAAAGAGCTTGTTTCAAAATTGATCTGCATAAAGCTTTCGATAGCATAAATAGGGAGTTTGTTTACTATATTATGCACTGCATGGGATTTCCACCAATATGGATCAATTGGATCAAAGAATGCCTCTCTACCCCTTCTTTTTCAGTCCTGTTAAATGGCTCTTCAACTGGGTTTTTTCAAAGCAATAGGGATATTAGACAGGGGGATCCTCTATCCCCTTATATATTTGTTTTGGTGATGGAATTTTGGTCTATTAGCATGGAGGTTGCTACCATTTCGGGGAAAATTCAGAATATTAAGAAGAATCACAATCTGCAAGTATCCCACTTATTATTTGCTGATGATATGCTGGTCTTTTGTAGAGCTAACAGGAATTCTTTTGAGGGCATTAACAATTTATTGGAGTCTCTTACACTTTATATAGGGCTGAGTATCAATAAAAGCAAAAGCAGAATTTTCTTCAGCAAAGGATGCAGAAATAAAGATGTTCTAAGTTCTTTTATGGGCATATCAAGAGGGTATCTCCCAGTCAAATACTTGGGTTTACCTTTATCTTTCAATTATCCTAAAGCTAAAGATTTTCTACCGCTAATTGATAAAGTTAGAAGAAAGATTGAAGGCTGGATTACATACTCCTTATCTTTTGCTGGAAGGATTGAACTCATTAAATCAGTTCTATATAGTACCATTGCATATTGGTATTTTGTCTATAAATTCCCCAACTCAATTGTTCACAGTTTGGAGTCTATTTTTGCTAACTTTCTATGGAAAGGAAAGTTACATACTATCAATTGGAAGGATATTTGCCGTCCAAAAAAAGAAGGAGGATTTGGTTTGAGGAAATTAAATGATCTATGTCATGCTGCTGGCATTAAATTGATATGGAGACTTATTACTACTTCTACCCTTTGGTCTAATTGGATGAAATTCAGATATGTCAGGGATGGAAATTTTTGGGATGCACCAGCTCATGCTATGGACTCTGGAACTTGGAAGTTCTTTTCAGGTCTTAAATCTAAAGCAATGTGTTGCATTAGGAAATCAATTGGTAATGGTGAAACAACTTCTCTTTGGTTTGATCCTTGGGTTCTTGAAGGCAGACTGTCGGATACTCTATACCAAATAAATCCACATCTAACAGGCACAGAAGATTGGTCAGTTGCTCACATCATTCAACAATCTCAATGGCATGTTGTATTACCATGTCTCTTTCCAATAATTCAGTATATCTCAAATATTAAAATAATTGGGCAAGATGATCAATGGTTTTGGCTACCTAATGCAAATGGTAAATTCACTTTTGAGTCAGCATGGAATCAGGTAAGAACATCTTACCCTTCTTATGAGTTTTTTAATGTGGTTTGGTTTCCTTCATCAAATCCTAAGATGGCTTGCTGTATGCTTAAAAGTTTATATAATAGATTGGCAACTAGAGACAGACTGTTCAGATTTGGAATTATCTCTGCTGTGGAGTGTGTTCTCTGTTCTGGTGGGATTGAGTCTAGAGATCACCTTTATTTTCAATGTCCTTATTCTGCATATATTTGGAAGCTCTGTAAACTCAAACTTCAGCTTGATGCCACGGTCACAAATGACCTCAGAAATGAAGCTCTGGAAATTCAATCAAAGTTCAAGTTGAAAGACAAAACTTATATTCTGTCCAGAATGGTTTTAAATGCAGCTGTATGGCATATTTGGCAAGAAAGAAATAGGCGTATATTTCAAGCTCAACAGTTGCACAAGGTGATGGTGTTTAGACGTCTCTACGAGGATATAAATGTTTTACTTAGAACCTGCACATGGAAGACTGGTAATAATAATATCCTTGCTAATTGGGAATCTGCAGAGAAATGTAATTAATCTCTTTCATTCCAGAATCTCAGAGATATTCTGATATGTATTGTGTACTGTAATGAACTTATCTGGCTGTGGGTCAATCAGGTTTCTCTCTAGGATCTTTAGTTGATGGTGACGGCCAGGGTCCTCTCCCCTCTCTAAAATCACAATACGTATACATAACATATAGTATTCACGCAAATACTTTAAATCAACATTAAATAATTGTCATAATTTTTTTTTCAAAATTAAGATATACACACATATTGTCCTCACTTATTCTAGGAATTCCTAGCAAACTCTATACATGAATCCTAGGAAACTCTATCCTAACTCCATAATTTGACACAGGAATGATCCTAATGATGCTGGAACTAGAGCTCTGATACCAACTGTGACGCCCCAGGGTTCACACAAGGCTGCAGTCCAAGGTGAAATCCAGATTGTCAAACCTACCAAGCACCAAACATCATGCTATGACATGTTTCACCATCACAGTCACTATCTCTCCAGTGGAAATAACAAATAGGTGAATATACAAAATAGGCAAATAATAGAAGTAGTACAAAATTAGATATGCACAAAAGAAGTATATCAACAAATGAGCCCAACTGAAATAGAATGAAAATATCTTTGAGTCTGAAATACATCTCAATACAATGAGTCAAATAAAATCTTACTAAGGCACTCAGCCTCTACAAAATGAATACAACTCTAAAGGCTAAACAATGAACATAACTATATAGTAGAGCTTCAACTGCTAAAACTGTGCGACGGCGTCTATGATAGAACTCCGTCATTCTGTGGCTCTCTGAAACTCTAATCTGCCTAAAAAATATAATTTAAATAAAAAGAACAACAACAAGAGCGTCAGAGTGCTACAGTAAGATCACCTCCATCCGTCCCTAGGGAAAGGGCTGCTAGATGAAGTGGAGACTCTATCTATTAAACATAGTCTACCTATAATAATTTTCTCGTATCTAATGGAGTTAATATTTAGACACCTACAAGACGAGACGTAGTACGTTGAGCGAAATAATCTAAATAAGGAAACCCTCACATATATACCATTTGTCTCAAATTGTAGATCCCTAAATACCAATTTTAACTCTATGAATGAAAATAACACTCAAAAGAAATACTCCAAGCCTAAACCATATAGGACCAATGTCACAATCTCGAACTACTTCTCAAGTAGTTGGCGCAATAATAAGATAATATCATCCATCTCAAAAAAAAAATCACCATAGGCCATATCCTGTATGCCACAAATCAATGAATGTGCCCTACTCATGGGTAATCTAACATGGGAGTAACTACAACTGATGATACATATATGTGTGCATCTCCTTATGCAATAGCGATACTCTTGTAATATTCTTACTCAATCGCTCTGTGATAATAGGTTTTATCTCCCTATTCTGGATACATAAAATAACGATACTATTGTAATACTCTTACTCAATAGTTTTGAAGCAAATAGGTTTTATATCCCTATTTCTGGATGATGCATCCAAATGATCATACAGCGGAGTATAGACATATCAGCCAAATGCTAAAACCCCCGATCATCTTCGAGTATTGGTACAGTCGCGGTCTCATTACGGGAAACATCAAATACTCCTAGTGTAGTACAGTCACGATCTCATTACGGGGAAACATCCTTACTGAGCATCCATAACTGATGAACACTATTTTATTATATGTTATTACACTTTCATCAATTCAACGTGTATCAGAAATCTTAACAGTGCGTGTTAACACAACATAAACTAAGTGTATGTGCACATATCTCGGTCTGTGTGTCCATAACTGGTGTTCACCATCATCTTAGGTGTTAAACAACTCTTAATCATTATAATATAATAGTACAAGATCGAGAAACTCTCTCAAAAATAACAAACAAGAGCAAAACTCAAGAAACTTTCACGTTATATATTAATTATTTCAAATCAGCACATTTGCAGTTTTCTGCAGAATATATTATTAGTCAATTGAGCATATCTTTCTCTAGACAAACTAATTTTAAGAATAGTTTTTTTTGAAAACTAGATTCACATAGCTATCATTTGGAACTAGTTTGGTTCAGTTTGGAGTTCATATGATATCTCTAATTTCTAGTTAAACGTTATATATGTGCAACAGTTTTTCTGAAGAATGTATTATCAGTAAATTGAGCATATCTTTCTCTAGGAAAACTATCTTTAGGAAAGATTTTCTATTTTAAAATCTAGATTCACATATATTTCAATTGGCATCAGTTTGATTAAATTTGAATTTCATTTGTTATTTCAAATTACTAGTTAAACAGTATATATGTGCAGCAGTTTTCCTGCAGAACATAACAAGCATGATTATTTACACAAGAAATCATATTTAAACCTTCAATCATGTTTAAAACATACTGAAGCATATATAAAACATATAACAATACTTAAACTTTGATAATCACTTACTGAAATTATTTCGAACATAAATCAAACTCTTGTGTTAATCTAATTAGGGTTTTTCAACCTAATTAACCAAATTCTTCAATCTAAAGCATGAACTTTTAACATATTAAACATAAGTATGAGTGCTGAAAACTTAGAAAAGATATACATTTATTAAATCATATTTTTAACACTTAGGTACCACAAACCTAGGGTTTTCTTATCTTTAATCCACATATAAACTTAATTAAATGTCAAATTAGGGTTTAAACATGATTAGAACATGATTAACAAGTTAAAAAATAAAATTTTGAAGAACCCTAATGATCATGATCATGTTTCTATTATAAACAGTAAGAAAAATATGTAGATCTAATATTTGTTTAAGATCTAACAATAAAAATCTATTTTTTCACATTAGATTAATATCTAAGCATGTAAACATAATTTAAACTTCTAAACTAGTTATTTAACTATGAAGATGGGTTTAGATATAAGTGGTCTTGCCTTAATATCATGTGCAAGCCTCTGAAACAAATACCAAGTAATCCACAAGCATAAACAACCCGTTCTTCCTTGCCACACGTCGATGATCTTGCCCTTGTATCGGTGTTTGGCTTCACAAAGCTCTCTAAACTCATAAGAAAAAGATCTAGAGTTTTTGAGGTGAGAAGGTGGCTGCTAGGGTTCATAGATATGATAAAAGAAAGGAATTTTTATTAAAAACATAGGTATTTATAGAGGCAAACCCAAAACAAACTTGTTTGACCCGAACCAGGAAACCTAGTCTGACTAGAAAAATAACCTTTGATATTTTGGCTGTAACTTTCTCATCCGACCTCAGAATGAGGTGATCTAAGATTTGTTGTGTAGATAGTAAAAATTACCTTTGCAGACATACGAGAAATTTGCCTGCGAGTCAGAGTCATTTACCGGTCTTGAGGGTGGGGGCTCACCCATGGGCCGGACTCACCAGCGCAAACCCAAACCGCGCGGTTGCCAAATTTGCTCGCATTTGCTTATCATAGATTCGCCTGTATGATCGACTCACCCACACGAGTCAAGATTGTCCAGATTCGCCTTTATGATCGACTCACCCGCACGAGTCAAGATCGTCCAGATTCGCCTGTATGATCGACTCGCCCGCACGAGTCAAGATCGTCCAGATTCGCTTGTATGATCGACTCGCCCGCACGAGCTGAGAGCCAAATTCACCTACAAACAGTGTACCCGATAGCCGCTACGCCGTGTATAGGGATGGGCCTTCCTACTTCCCATGACATGAAGGGATGGAGCACAGTACTCCAAGCCCATCAAGTAGCCTCTCGTAGTACGAGCCACCAGTCAAATCCATGCAGTCGCCAAATCCGCCTGCACGCTCATGATTGAAGCTCACCTTGCCTGCACGAGTCAAGAGCTGGATCCACCCACGATCGACGAGCTCGCTGGGCTAGTGCCTGATAGCCGCAATAGCACGTATAAGGAGGGGCTTTCCCACTCCTCGCGATGTGAAGGGAAGGAGTACAATGCTCTGAGCCCATCAAGCAGCCGCTCATAGTACAAACCCAAGGCATGGTATCTCCCTACAATACATGGTCATATCCCATGATTCAAGCAGCGGCCACGCCGTCTCTCCTCTATTTAAGAACCTCTCCTGGCTTCGGAAAAGGGGGTTTAGTAGTTCGCTCATAGCTAATTGATTAATTCAATCAGTCAACTAAACCACTAGCTCTCGACTCTCAAAATAGTGGATGACAAGCTCTTTGCATAATCTTTGCACTGTAGCATCTTCTCCTAGTTTCGGGCCCTGATCGCCATCAAACTCGGAGACTCGAACTCTACTAACTTGAGCTTCTACTACGTAGTGAAGCTCATCAGCAACCTCGGTCGGATCGTCCAAGGGAAGTAGACTCGGTGCGAGAACCGAGCGAAGCATCCTATAGCTACTGAAAGTCCCCACGTTAAACAAGGAGGACATTCCCTCTACTTCTATTGTAATTTTTGATTTATTAGTTTGTAATAAGCTCTTCTTATCAATACAAACGAAATCCCTATTTCGGGAGATCAGAAATTCACACCTACAGAAGATGGCGACCATAGTGGGAGAATCTGTTTCTTCAACTGAAATGGTGGTAGCTTAGTTCGACGAGGTTGCTATTGGGATGGTTGTGGAGTCCCTAGAAATCGAGTTCGACCAAGCCAAGTACGAAGAGTACTTGTCTTCTTCCACCTCTGGTGGCGATGCATCTCGCAAACGCTACAGAGTCGTGCGTAGAGGCCGACCTCAAACGGTCAAAGCCTCCGCGCCTGGAGACTCTATCCGAGTCATGTCGGGGGAACCCACTCCCTCTAAATCGATCAAGGCCAAGCCAGAGGTCGAGAGCACGGAGCGAAAGCCTGTCAGATGGGTCACTAAGCAGCCCTCGCAGACACCCGCCCAGGAGGAAACGGTGGTCCATTCCGACGTAGACCATGCCACCGCAACCCGCACGGACGCTCCTCTCTCCAGAAGAGCTCGCGCGCGAGCGGCAACGACAGTCCCTCGCCCGACAGGAGGCCCAAGCCTTCGCCTCATACGTCGGCTTGAACTAT